GGTGCTAGAGATACAGGTCTGTGGTAGAGGGCATGCTTAGGACACTATCCTGAGATCTATCCCCAAGCGCTGCAAAAACAAACAAGAAACAAAGATCTCAGACTAACCAGAGATGGTTCACCATGACTTAAAAAAGAAACAAGGGGGATGTTTTCAAAATTCCGAAGAATAACAAAAAAGAAAAAAATGCTGACTAAAACTACATAGAACAAAATGATTCCAACTTAAAACCACACGCCAGTGACACTAGTCCTAATTTTTGGTACTAAAAGCAAAGTTAGAGGTAGAGATTTATTCTGCCTGCTTCTGGATCGTCTATTTCAAGTATCAATAAAAAAAAAACCTCATTTCTCCAGAATCTCTTCTAGCAAACCCCAAACTACATCTAAAACACTCTTGCATTAATAACTATAGCCTTAACTTTTACACCCAATCAAAGAAAGAAGTTTAGGCTTAAAAGTTATAACATGAAAGAGTGGTGATTAGAGAGAACTACAAAGGGTTTTTGTCTTATTAAAGCAAATCATAAAAAAATTATAACAAAGTGTGTTTTGCTGATAAATGACAAAATTGTATATTTGAAAAGATCTATGGTTTTAAAACAATTTAAGATATTCTTGAGTTTCACTAGCATGCCTAAATATTCCTAACTAGCAAGGTTTAATTTTTTGAAAAACTTAAATCTTAATGTAATAAGATACTTTAAGAAATAGTTATTTGCTTAATGTTATTATGAACAACCTCATTTCTTTAAAGAAATCACTTTTTCTCCCAAGATTCTTGCCTTTCCATTTTTCTTCAGTCCCATAGTTAATTATTACTTTCACAAAGACATAGCATACTATTAAGATAGTTCATGCAGGCCTCAGCACTAAAACAAATCAATTGTAGCAGTGGAAATTCTCCATAGACTATCATGTTCTAGACAAGACAGATGAACATCTGCAAATCCAGTAACTCTATTCACAAAGTAGATCATCTTCAAGTAGAAGCAAATTCATGAGTACAGTGCTTGCTTTTGGCACCTCACTTTTTTCCATTTCATGGATTACCTTAGTGAGAAACAATACCAACAGCAAACAAAGCTCAAAAGAAAGAAATCCCCACGAATTTCAAAATGATGCTGTTAGTATAAGAAAGATAGGTTGACACATCTCAAAGCGCTAGTCAATACCATCATGCATGTACCGTTAGGGTTATATCAAGCCCGATGCCTACTATTTAACCATTTGATCTTCACAGATCAAGCAAGGACTTGAAATCATCTCACGTGCAACAGTCTCTGCATAGTGCCATTTTATCCATGCCACAAAAATGGTAAATTTAGTAGTTACCAATAAATAAGTTGGGGGTCAAAGGAACTAAAGTCTTAGACTGTTCTTTATCATAAGATATCCTCAGACAAACCTCCCCATTCTTCATTCTGGCTCTATAAAATTAAGGAGCAGAGAAAAGCTGGTAAGTGCCTGAGGTCACAGGGAAGAAAGCCATATTATAATTTCCTTTGTCATTATCAATATATGTGCTTATAAAATAAATTCAACTGCATCACTATCCCTCACCACCCAAAGATGAGATAGGTGCAGAGGGATATATGCTAAGCATTGTAAAGAATAACTATTAATCTCAGCATGACATATCTGAATTTAAAAATTACCGTTAGTAATAGTGGCATGTTGAGATGACATTGGTCAAATTCCAATGGTCAAATATTTAAAAAATCGAATAATAAGCCAGTTTCTGGGATTTCCTTCTCAAAGGTAATTATGAATTCAGGCAACCAAAAGGCATAAACACAGAACTGGTCTGCAAATGTCAAATATGAAATATACTATGAAATAACAATGGTTGCTAATATTTTGGCAGTTTGTTTTGTAGCATGGCAGCAAAAGAACACTGACTTTAGCCACTAACTATCGACCCTGTTTGTCCACAAAATGAAAGACATATAATATAAATTATATAAAAGCAAAATTTTAATAAATTTTCTGAAGAGCATTAAGAATAGAAATACATATTTCACAAATTATAAAAAGATCTAAATTCAGAATTATTCTAATCTGTATATATTCTTGATAAAGTTCATTGTTAATTCAAAATCATCTTAACATAGTACAAATATATTTTGACACTAGAAAATCACAGTACATAAAAATTACATTAAAATTAAGGTTTTTAAGTACTTTTGCTGCAAATTTTAGGATGCATTTAGCTAAAATAGCTATGCATAAAGTTTTAGAAAAAATAAGTTTCACAACACAAAGTCATTACTATATCTCAAACTCTAAGACCTAGAAAGCTATTATACACTAAGAATTTTGGTAAATATAACAAGAGACTTTTGAAAATACTGTCTATAAATCTACATATTCAATTAAACATTCTAACTACTGATGATGACAACAGTGAACATCCTTGAGCCTAAGAAGTAATAAATAGCACATACTGCTATAATGCTTTGTAACCTCCTCATAGGGTAAATACACACTATCAAGGAAACATGACATTGTTGTCCTAGTATAAAACAATTTTCCAGTATCATTTAAAAACTAACGTAGAATCAAGGAGCTATCAGTGCCCTAAGAATTACTCTCTAGGAACATATTAAAAGCAAAAACTGAATCTTAACAGCTTCAAAACTGTCCTGCAGAGATGGATGGACCAACAGAGGACCATACATGGAGAGGACCTAGACCCCCTGCTCAGAAGTAGCCCGTTGGCAGCTCAGTCTCCATGTGGATGGATCTCTGAGTGAGGGGAGCAGGGGCTGCCTCTATCATGAACTCAGTTGACTGCTCTCTGATCATTGGCCCCTGATGATGCAGCCTTGCCGGGCCATGGAGGAAGATGATCCAAGCAGTCCTGATGAGACTTATCAAGCTATTGGCCGATGGCAATAGTGGAGAATTCCCCATTTCAGTGGACTGGGGGAAGGGGAGGAGGGGAAGAGAGAGGGAAGGACTGGGAGAATTGAGGTAGGATGCTTCAATTGGGATGTGTAATGAATAAATTGTAAAAAAAATAAAAATAAAAAAGAGTTAACCAGAAAATTATGAAAGACTTAGTAGAAATACCAAGTCTGACAGAAGAGATATAGTTCTATAGTAATTAAACATTATTAAGACAAGACACAAATATGAAGAATTTTCAATTCCTAATCCTGGAGCCTAAATTCTGGTTAGTTTTATTTATTTTATTTTTATTTTTGGCAGGACCTCAGGTTATACTGGCTTCCCTCAAAACTTATTTTGTAGCCAAGACCTTAAATTCCTGATTCTCTGGTGCTACTTCCTAAGTGCTAAGATTCAGGCATACACCACCCTATCTGGTTTATGCTGAGCTGGGGACTGAACGCAGGATTTCATGCAAGCTAGGCAAACAATCTTCTGAGCTACATTCCCAGCTTGACCTAATCATTTGTTTTCTCTTAAGTTTGATTAGTAAACAACAAAAGGAGGTGCTAACTCTGTTCTGTTTTGTTTTTCAAGACAGGGTTTCTCTGTTTAGCCTTGGCTATCATAGACTCACTTCATAGACCAGGCTGACTTAGAATTCACAGAGATCTGCCTGCCTTTGTCTCCCAGAGTGCTGGGATTACAGGTATGCCTTAGCATACCTGATGTTAAAATTACAAACCTCCAAAATGACGTGTTTGCAATCAATTAATAAACCACCACAGCAAACTGTACACAAGGATAAAGGTCTGTGCTCATTTGACTACCAAACAGCAGATGGTATGAAGGCTGCCATTGAAATACTTCAGTGTTGCACTTACCAACATATTTTGTGACAGCTACATTACACATACAGTTCACTGTCTTGACTCTGGATGCTATCAAGACAACTGTAAGCAGGCTGTACAGCTCACATAGAGGAGCCCTAGGAGCACCCTCCATCACAAAGGTTAAAAGTAAAGAAATCATAAGAGAAAATTAGAGTTATTCTTTAAAGAAATGACTGACTATTCCTTTAAAGTGAGCCATTTCAGAAATACTAAAATATTTAATTTCAAGTCTGTTGTACTAATTTAAAAAATAATAAATATGTAATAGAGAAGAAAGTGTTAAAATAAACTAGGAACACAAATCTACTTTTAACACTGGTAAATGAACCTATGGGATACAAATATTCAATTATGTCAATATGTTTTACACACACACACACACACACACACACACACACACACACACACACACAAATACATACAGTTACCTTAATGAAAACACTGTTTTTTTCTTTACTAACCTATTTTCATGCTAAACTTTGTATAATGCAACAACTACAATTAGCTCTAAACCATAATTTAATTTGGTACCTAAGCATCAAACACATGATTAGCTCAGGATGCTGAAGGCAATTAGAAGGCAAAGGGGTTGCTATGGTTCTGGGGATATGGATGTTAAGACAGGAATATAATAGTTTTGACAGAACATGGTTAGTTATTTCAAAAGAACAAAGAGAAGCACAAATTCATTTTGAGTTAATTTTGTTAACACAAAGCCAGAGGGTTCTATAAAAAGTTAAATTAGAAAACACTAACATTTGCTTGGCTACATTTGCACTTAATGGACATGAAATGAAAATATGAACCAATTTGGAAAGGATATGCCATAATCTCACAGTCAACTCCTAATTATCCACACTAATGAAAATGGTGGGGGCATTTTAAGTAATTCCAAACAAAAGATGTTTTCAAATGATTGTTATTTTTGGCCAATTGTGTCCCCATTTTAATATATATATATATTTTTTTCATTTATTTAATTGAAGTAGTCTGCCTTCTAAGTCAGCCTGACTGAACAGGCCATCTCCACAGAAAACTGTCCATTCATAGATAACTGAGTTGATGTGACTGACACATATTCCAGTCAAACTGCATATGAACACTACATACCAAGCATGCTTTGAAGTGATTTCTGAAACTTGAAAGAATGAGTAGTGAGATTTCCCTAGCAAGAGCAAAACATGCTAGTTCCTTTTTGGGAGCTTAAGTAGCTTACCTCCTGCAGGAGATCGGCCTGCTCAATCGCTTTAAGGACATTTTTCTTGGATGTTTCCTGAACTTCTCCTCCCAAAAGAAATTCATCCAAAATAAAATAGGCCTTCTCAAAATTAAAGATGATATCAAGTTCACACACCTAAAAAGCAAAAACAAACAAATCAAGGCCTGTTAAAATGTAAGCCAAAGATACTTATTCACTACTGGGTAATGAATAAAATCTGACCAGATTGATTTGATCTTAATTCTTTTCAAAATGGAAGTCTTGCTGATTAAGCACCATTCATTTAAGAAAGCTTCTTAAAATTTTCAAATTTCAGGTACTTGACTATACAATGCCTACAAATAAGACCTGGCTCTGCACACTCCCTATGTAGTCAGCTTAATAATTTTCCACTCATAAAAACTGAATTTTAAATATATATTTCTTGAGTAATATGATTAAGCTGCTAACAATTCTGAATGCTATACTTCACTCTTCCAGAATGCTAACGTTAGCAATAGCACTCTTCTATTTCACATAAGTATGCAAAGGTATGTACTTTCATACGTGTGTGTATGTGTGTGTGTATGTGTGTGTGTGTGTGTGTGTGTACTGGTGTGCAAATGGGTGTTGTTCCTCAGGAGCCATCTCCCTGGTTTTTAGACACAGGGTCTCTTGTTGGGACCTAGGCCTCACAGACTACGCTAGGCTGGCTGGGCAGTGAGCTCCAGAGATCCCACTGTCTCCAGTACCCTGGGAATTAGAAACGAAAGCCAGGAGCTGGAGAGATGGCTCAGCATTTTTTTAATGCTGAGCACTGTCTGTTCTTCCAGGAGACTAAGTTTCAGCTCCCAGCACCTACATTATAGCTCACAACTACCTGTATTTCTACTTCCAGGGGATCTGACATCTTCTTTGGCTTTTCTTCACAGTAAGCATGCACTTGAAGCATGTAGGCAAAACACCCATACACACAGAATTTAAAAAGCAGTAGCAGCAACAACAGCAACAAGAACCAGCACTGGCTTTTTATGTGTATACTGGGAATTAAATTCAGGTTCTCATGGGTGGTAAGCACTTCACCAACTGAGCTATTTATCCAGCAACTTTATTTTCACTATTTTAAGACTTATTCTCACCAATATAAATTACATGGGTGCATTTGTGGGGCCAGACATTCTGAAAGTTGACTAGATGCACTGACAAGAAATAAGAGTCAGTCCTGTCCTCCCTTTATAGTTAGAATCCTCAAATAATAAACTTGTTAGAGACAAGATAAAAACTAAAACTACTACTCACACTGCCAAAATACTTGTCAAGTAATTCCACATAACGATGGATTATTTCCAGGGTAATCAGTTCATTGTCCTGATCCTCAATAGCACAGCAAAAATAGAGACTGGCATATCTGTAATGAAACAGAATTACAGAAAAAATGTTACTCCTATAATAATTTTTCTAAATATATTTCCATGTCCAGTTGTACATGTCCATATGCTTATTATAATAATGTTTATTCTTCTTTTAAAACAAATTCTTTTTCTCCTACATTACAAAAGTAACAAATGTACAAGGGAAATTTTAGAAAACACAGGCAAAAAGAAAAGAGAAAAAGAATTCAATCATGTTTCTTGGAGTAGTTGATCCTGCTCTTCTTCCTTTCATATTGCTTTCTGAGCATTTGAAAAATATAATTGAGCTGGTTTTCCTTAAGTTTACTTAATTAGAACCAAATATACAGTGCGATTGATTCAAGCTACAAGCAAACAGGAGAAAACAAGCTGTTAATATATATCCCAACTGAAGGGTTTACTAAAGATACTGTCAATGTTTTAGAACATGTTATTGAAGGATAATACATATACAGAACTCTCAACTCTGCAAACCTGTGGTTTCAGAGTAGATATTTCAATGAGAAAACACAGCACCATCTTTAACTTGAGCAAAGAACTTTCTCTTGTTTCCATCATAACCTTGTTTTGTTTATCTATTTAAAAAGCAAGGGCTATTCCAACTCTCCATCCTCCCTAATCCCTGCTCTTCAACAGCATCTGGAGAATTTGGCACAAATGATATAGGACACTGGTTCTCAACCTTCCAAATGCTGAAACATTTAATACAGTTCCTCATGGTGTGGTGACTCCCAACCATAAAATTAATTTTGCCACTACTTCGTAACTGTAATTTGATACTGTTATGAATCATAATGTAAGTATTTTTGAAGCTAGGTGTTTGCCAAAGGGGTTGTGATCCACAGGTTGGGAATCATTCATACAGGAGATTCTCTGAATTATGAAAACTAAAGGTTAAAGGAACTGTCATAAAAATGACAGACCAATTCAGATACAATTGTTTCTATGAACAGAATAACAATTCTGTTGCAGAGATTATTAATACTAAATTTGGAGTACGATTATTTTTAAACTTGTCTCATCGTGCTGTTAGGCATCCAGTATGGGCGCTATTTCTTCACTTCTTTATCCACAACATTGCCTCTTTGTTTACAAATAAACAATATTTAAACAACAATAATATTTAAAGGTCCTGAATTATACTAGTCGTGAATTTAAAAATGAGCATGACTGATGTGTCTAGGCACCAACCAAAAATACTTCAAAAGGGGGGGAAAAAAAACCTCCTACAGTATTTAATTTTAGTTTTTGTTTTTTATTTTCCTGTTATACTACAGGCTAAATCTGGGGCCTTATATACCATTTACTGCCAATTTCAGTCCTCTAAATGAACACTTCCCTAAGAGTGGGAGAGAAAGACAACAATTTAAGGAACCATCTCTTCCAGGTGAAAAGACAGCCATTAGCATGATAAGAACACCTGTTCAGAAATCTGGGGAAGGAAGAAAGAAAAGTACAAAGAGACTCACTGTAAATGAGACACTAAATGTTAGTGAAGGCTTTTACATATTTTACCATCTTAATCTTCACAACATCCTCACCAAGATATCATTATTACTTGCATTTACAGGAGACCCAAGCTTGAGTAACTAGCTCAGAACAGAAATTTGATCCTGGAGCTCAAATTTTCTATTAAAAACCGCAGCTGCGAACTGTATTAAAATAATCCTGCACCTGGCTAAAATTAAAATATGCTCAACGCAATATATTAAGAGCTATGAAGAAGGGAAAGAGGTTTAAAAAAGAGATTTAGTAAATGATTACCAAGAGAACGTGAAGAATACTCCCTATTTTTAGGAGTACTTTACAATTGATGCTTTACAATTCAATAATGAGCTCATTTTGTTCTCTTAGTACATATTTGTAAGTCTAAATCTGAAGTAAGATTAATAATAGACTAGAAAGAAGAGAGGTACGTTTAGTTATTTTTAGCATCATGGATTAGAGCTTACTCTAATTACTGGCACTCAACATCTGAAAGTGCCTATTCTTATATTCAAAACACATGACTTCTCTGCAGTCAGCTAAATACCAGCTGACTGTGCGTGAATGTAGCTAAACAATTCTCAATGCCCAGTAGTATGTCGTTAAAATTTCTTTTGTTAGTAAAGGAAATCAATAAGTATCCCTCAACAAATTCTCAAGGTAGTAACATGGGGATGCATTTTAAAATTAATTTTAAAAGACCTAAATTCAATTGCCTCTACTATGAAATGCTGCACAAATTAGGCATATAATGTTCTGTCTCTAAGGGATCTTCTGGAGCATTTATTTTAAAGATGAGGAAACAAAGACAAAACAACTTATACAAAGTCACAAAAATAGGTCATGGCACATGGGAACACAATGTAAGCCCTCAGATTTTCAGCCTGCCTTTTCACTATATTACCCCCAAACTTAGGGATGAATGTGGACAGGACAACTGAACGAAGATGACATAAAAAAACACATGCCAAGAGAAAGAGTGAAAGTGTTAAAGCAGAATTTATTAGGCGCTCAGTAGGAATTCTATGGCTTATAAGGTCTTATCTTCCAGCTGGAGCAGGGAAAACAAATCACCTCATAATAACAAAATACACGGTTACGTGGGAAGTAGATGAGGTTTTCTGCATGAAATGGAAGAAAGAAAAACAGTAAACATTCTGTCTTTTGTATATGAAACATCTCAATAAAGCTTTTTTGTTAAGTCCGCATTTTACTTGAAAAAACTTTGATCTAAATATCAGATCAAGTTGGAGTTTTCTTTTTATAATTTCTGAAAAAGGTAGGGAGATCAACAGGAACCGGCTGAGTAGGCAAGTGTATGTGGCTTCAACCTGCTGTTTTCGTTTTTAACTCTGAATTATTATTATTCACTGGCTTGTTCTCTTGCTAGGATTTTCAGCCTCCACACGGGGGACTCGTTTCACTATCTAGAAATAAGCTTAACCGCCTCACATCTTTTGTAAACCCCGTCCAGGAATCCAGAATCCACATCTATGGGTAGTCACAACCTCTTCTGTCCTTGCTGTTTCAATTTCTCTGTCTCTCCACCTTTGCCTCATTATATCAAAAGTTCTGTATTTACTCCACTGAGAATGTTATGGCAACAGGCAGTGCATGAAGTGCTCCCTGTAAGATTCTAAGACTTCTTCACTTTTACCGAACTTTGTGCAACACTTGGCAGTAATGTTCATACTCTCAAATCTCTCTGCCTCCCTGACTTTACTGACCTAACATCACTCCTTTCCTCCTCTGTCATTTCAATTTGCAGGCCCCCTCTTTGTCTCTTCCATCCTCACCTGAATGCTGGTTATCTAATACTTTATGTCTAACTTTCACCCTCAAATTCCACGTCTGTGCCTACCACATCCCATTAGAGAGCCAAGTGAGCAAATATGGCCATTTCAACTTGCCCTCAAATTAACTGAATTTCCCAGCTTACCTTTCATCCCATAAACCAAACTGTAGAAATGGAGGTAACTCCACTTCCTTTTTCCTGGGTAACAGGTCTTTTTGGCCTCACAGCTCCATATTCAATTACCATGCAGTCCCCTACTCATCCTGCAGGTGCCAGTCTCAGCCCCTTTCACTCTCCCAGCCATGGTTTTACTGCAATCATTTCAAAAATACAAATCTGATTTTTATGTCTTTCCATGACCATTTAAAACTATTGCCTCCACACTGAAGACTTAGGTTGTAGCCCTGTGCTCATCATATCACCTTGGGCCATGTGAAATGTGAACAATAACTGTTTTTCAAACCCAAGACCCATCTTTTGTGCAGAGAGCAGAGGCCAACTGAGACAGGTTACAGGATTCTTATTTCTGATTCCACAAAAGCAATTCTATTTCTCTTGTTTTATTCAAGATTCTATCCCTGGGAGAAAAGTTTGTGTGTGTATGTGTGTGTGTTCTAAGGCATCTTCCAGCTTTCAAATGCTATGATTTTTTGTATGATCTTTCTCAAGAGTACTAAGCCAAACATTGGATATGAAAATCACCCATACTGATGAAATTCACTATGGAAGAAAGAGAAGTCTAATGTGCTTAGAAGGGTCTCTATGTACTGTTAATCTCCATGTATTCCTCTGCTACCTCCTCCACCATAAAGCCCATCCATACTGGGAATGTAGTGATAGAAAATAAAAGAAAACTAGACTTGTCTCCACCTTCATTGCATTCCATACTGTTAGTTCTCTGCACACTCCCCATACAGGAAAATGTTTTATGTGAGGAAATGCTTTGATCTTAAATTCAGTAAATTACTCAAAAGGGATCAGAAATGGGAAAGAAATAAGAAAATATTCCCTCAGAAAACATTCTTTTAAGAAGAAATTATATGTCTTTTAAACTGATTAGAACAATCCTGAGAAAAGTTTTGGTTACCAACAAAATAAAGATGTGTAGCATTAAAGAAAATACTATGTAAAAAGCCAACCTACAAGTTATTTTGCACTAAAAAAAAAAAATCCATCCTTGGTAAAATTATATCTAAGCATAACTCATCCACAGTAGCAAGTCTATTTCAAATAATAAATACTACTAGCAAAGAGATCATATATATATATATTTATATATCATACACGTATGATATACATATGTATATATATCACACACACACAAAGTATTTAAACATCTGTATACTGAGATGGTCTATGTGTCCAGGATCCTTATAAGTAAGATTAATTCTGAAAATCAGAAAAAAGGAATGTCAACTATCAGTTATTACTTTGTAAATTTGCTGTAAGAAAGGATTATGTTACGGTTATCTATGCATGCCTGAATTTACCGAATTACTTAAACATTTAAAATATCCTATTTCCTCCTGTCCTGTAATGAATTCATTGAATTTTTCTAAAATTATGGTCAAGCATGAACAACTGTTTGTCTCTAATTATATAATTAATTTTAAATGATTTTCCCTGCTGCTATAATTTCAGCTTAAAGTAAGCAATCAAAACAGCAGATATTTATTTTTAAATAGAAAGTTTTCCTTTAAACTTATTTCATTGAAATATTTATTAATCCTTGATTATTGACATAAAGGTCAGCAATTTCCTCATTAGAAACAACCCTAATGTTTGACAGTATTTCACCTTTCTGATAATTAAAAAAAAAAAAAAAAGATACCTTTTATAAACAATCTTCAGATCTCTCCACTCAAGGAAGCTGCACATTTTAGGTTTCCTTGCTAAAACGGTTTGAACAAGTTCTCTTGTGATCTTCTTCTTCTCTTTGTCTGATAGTGGGACATACCATTTCTGCAGTCGCAGCTTTCCCTGACGACTAAAAAGCAACATAAACTGCATCTGTTAAAATAAATAAAATCAAGATTACAGACAATTACCTAGGATCAACAGTTAAGATCATGTGGTTTTCAGAGCCTTTTGGGGGACATAGTAAACACCCAGACAAATGATCAGTAAGCCATCACCATTTCTGTGCAGGTTACAATAGCAGGAAATTCTTTTGGAAACATCTTCTTACTATGTAGGTACGTGTGGAAGAGAATGTGTGGTGGTGAGCTGAAGCAAAAATTTTGAAGAACACGAACTCTGATAATTTAAGAAACAATTTCTACCTGTGCTACACACTTCACCACACTTCATGCCTCAAAAAGCAATTGTAGATGCCAGGTAGTCAATTTAGGTACATTTCTAGGAAAAAGAAGATGTACTATTTTTCACCCTGAGGCCATTCCAGTTCTAGGCAGAATTTCTTGCAGGCAAACTGCTGATCACTTAAAGCACTCTCTTTAATTTATGCTAGCTTATCTTAAGCAAATCAGAATATTAATCAAAAAGATCTCACAAATGTCATTTTTCTTAACAAAATCCTGATTTTGATATTTGCATTTCACTTTTATAAACTCCAACACAAAGAAGCATTCAAGAATTGAGTAAATGCACTGTTATGTAAAAGAGAATACAAGCCTTAAAACGCTTAACTAAAAGTTACTCATACTGAGATACTGCACAGGATACTTATTTAAAACAACATTTTGGAACATTGCACAGAATACTTCTTTTCAAACAATAAAAATACATTTGAATATACGCTGGATTCTCGTATGTTTATACTGAAGCTAATTTGTATGGATTTTCTTGGTATTTGCATGTCTGTTGGTCAGTCTACGTTTCCCAAGGCAGGTATTTTATAATTCAGGCTGTAAAAACAAGCTGTACTGTAAAGCTAGTTTGAAGGTAAAAATTCAGATAGGTGTTCTCTTTGAACCCTTTTAAGTTCCTTTAACAGTGACAGTGCAATAAGCCCTATCCCAAGGGAGAGTCTTAATATTCACCACACCACCTTGAATTTGAACACCAGGAGGAGGAATTTATGTAACTAATATAAAATCAAATTGGCTCTAAATTTCGACAGGAAATCCACCTCGCAATATCCCCAAAAGGCATCAAGAAAACATCCCGAAATTTATGGCGCAGACATTTAACTTTAATAAAGTTAAAATTAGATATTACCCCACACAACACTCTATATAATTCATGGATATTAAAGTGCCACCCAAACTGCTGAAGACAGCAGCCAAAGAGACTGGCAAGTAAAGCATCAACTGGACATTCAACGCAAACCGTTACCAGAACTTGGGGAAGGAGCCAATCGGTTTTCTTAAATCTTGATGAGCAAGAGGGTTTGTTAAAGACAGAGGTGTGCTCTAGGCTATCTGTAGTAGGGTCCAGTATCCGCCCTGCCACTTTGTAGAACGAAGAAACCACGCATTTTCCTTAAAGCAAATGATGTGCAGACATGGGACGAAACCCGTGGCACAAGTATTCCTTTTTTCCCTCGCTTTGATTTTGCCGCAAATCCTGGGACAACAATTTCTCCAGATTGGTATTAAAACAAAAACAAAACAAAAAACCAACAATGAGCGCAGCCTTTGAGTGGGCTCTAGTCCAGCATCCCTGGGGTCCCGCAGTCTCGGACGCCTCCCCTCCTCCCGGGACCACACTCCATCACTGCCCAAAGCCCTGGCGAGGTGACCGGCAAGAAGCTGAGCAAAGACAATGGCATCCGCTGGCCCGCCAGGGGCGCCAAGTCCTTGATCGTCGCCACCCCGGCCCCTCCCCAAAATGCCCCGCCAAACTTGAGGCGATCGGCGAACCACATGTGCCGCGGGGTCCCCGCGGAACCCAGGACCGGCCCCGGCATCACCTGCGCGCCGCAGAGTGGAGAGCTGGGCGCCACCGCCGCCAGAAGTGAGTTTCAGGGCGCGGCGCCCCAGGAGGACTCGGGGTGGGGTCGTCGGGACGCTCAGGGGGTGGCGGGGGGCGCGCCCGGCCATCTCTCCCCCTTGGCATCCCTGCCATCTCGGCGGACACCCTCAACACTTACGGCAGCGGCGGGCCGCGGACGCAGTGGAGCTTGGCCGGCGGCAGAAACTGAGGCTGCGGAGGCTGCTGAGGGGAAGCCCCCGTCGCCGTGCTGTTGAAGGGAAGCCGTGGTGCCTCGGGGAGGGGACCCGTCTGGTGGAGGGCAGGCTTAGGCAGCGAGGGTAGGGCGAGCCAACAGACCCCGCCCCGGAGGCTGGACGGAGGAGGAGCCCAGGCCGAGGCAAGCATAGAGGCGGGCCAGAGGACGCGCGCCAAGCAGTGGAGGGGACGCCAACCACTACTAGTGTGGGCTCAGTTGCTAGCGAGAATGAGGAAGCCGATTGGTCAAATGGCCAGAAGGGGGCGTGACGAGGACAGGAAGTCTGGCCACGTGACCCGGAAGCGGCTTCAGTTGTGGCCGGCGCGCCTGCGTGCTTATGCCCGAGCTGCCTGGACACGGCGCGCGGGGTTGTCTTGGCTTTTTCAGTGGCAGTAGGATGGGGGTTCGTGGCGCCCTTATCTGACCCCGTGTTGCAGGCTAAGGATGGTTCGCGCCGCAAAGAGCTGACTTCAAGCTCCAGTGCCTCTCTGGGTCCCCAGAGGGTTGAATGGGGGAGTGTGATGGTCGGTGATGGTGGTGGGAGGAAGGACAGGAGTGCGGCAACTCTGGGGAAAACAAGTCAGCGGTTTCCTCGTGCTCGTGCCCGCGTTTGCAGGGAGGCCCCTCCTTTCCAGCGCACTGCTACAGCCCTAGCTAGCCTAGACACTTCTCGCCCCAACCTTTGCAAGAGCCGCTCTGCAGGGCTTGCTTCACTCAGCAGTGCGGCGGACTGGATGAGTTGCGGTCCGCTCTCTGCCGCAAAAACCCAGACAGCTCTTAGTACTCTAGGTCCCGCTTCCTTCTCAGGGTCTCGCCGCTCCCCTACCCCCCTCCCCCGCTCCCGGGCTCCAGTTTAGCCTTGCTGAAGATTTCGCTCTGTTTGACATGTCCTTCCTCTAATGTCACATCTATGAAGCCTCACCCTAAAGCCCCATAACAACGATTTTCTCTTTTACCCACATGCTTCTTGGATTTTATTCGTTTAACAACCTAGTTCCCTGCCTGGTTTTTAACACTACTGATAAATGTGAGTTCCCCAATAAAATTATAAAATAATATTAGATTTGTTAAAAACTGAAATGTTGACTTAGTTCTGGGCATATGATGGATGTCCATGTTTTATTTGAATGGTAGAATGAATGAATCGTGTAGTTCAACTCATTTTTTATAGCTAAGGGGAGTGGAAACCCACGGGATTAGATGACCTTGCTTGGACAGCCATGGATTTCCCATGCCAAATGCTATTCATTACTCCAGTCACCACCATTCCTACAAAGAAAGACAGAAGAGAGCATTTGTTGGGCCATGCCTTTCTTTGCAGAGATTAATAAACAGGAATTTTTAATTAGCCAATGTAAGAAGAAGCTGCTACATTTTTAACAAAGCTGTGTTTACCCAATATAAAGAACCCCCTTATTAGAGATCAGTGTTTCTTTTTTTGTCTTACAGTGCCAATGTAATAGGATGATATATGATAGGAATTTGACGTCATTGTGTAATGCCTTTATTTAGCAAAAATACAATTAGAATATCTTTCCCTTTCAGTACTACTATGCTACTTGGAAAGTTTCCTACTAATGTGTGTGATTGATATGTACTGGAATATTAAAGTGGTCAACAGAAAACAGAATTGGCTCTTGGTAGGTCGTTAGGCCCCCTGCCCAAATTTCTCAATTTCCTGTCCAAACATGCCTTGAAATGCTCATGTCCTTTTCCTCCCTTAATACTGGAAACAGATGTCACTAGTCAATTCAAAGATAGCACTAATACTACACAATGAAAGCCTGCCTTTTAATTCTAAACGCTGCCTTTTTGTGTACAAAACATGTGTGTCCTCAAGGTTCTTGAGATAGCCACCTCCCAAATTTAAACTTATTGGATATGTTAGTAATGTTGGCTGATAGCTCTGGAAATGATGGGACACTTGCTAATGACATATTGGCCGTCTCATCTCTATGTTCCTAGCCAGGGGGCGGGGGGCTTTGGAGGTAGGGAAGGAATGATGGGAAAATAATTAGCAGCTGAAAGCAGCTATTACATAATCTTGGCTGCTTATTAATTTAGCAGAAGGAATGGCTTATTAAATTCTAATAGCAACAGCAAAACTGCAAACAACCTACAATTAACAGAGCAGGGCCCATTATTTTGTTAATACATTCCTGCCTTTGGCAAGTATATGAGAACAAAATTTATAGAAGCAGATGGTCTTTTTCAGTAGATTATAGATGGTTTATTCCTAAGTCTTAGTACAAAGTGCTAATCGTGCATTCACTGTGAAAGACAAAAAGAAACATGCTGCCATCTTTGTTAGTAATTAACTAGCTTGACTTTGATTTCCACATATCTCAAATTGTAGGTTTTATTATATAGATGTTTCTTCTGACCTATCTTTTTAATCTGTCATGTCAATGTATTATTTTTTTATTCCTTTGTCTTTGTTCTCAGGGTATTTATGTTAATACAAAATATTATACAAATACTATGAAAAATTAATAAACAGGTTTGTAATTGTAAAATTACAAAATGTGTCTTGCTGTCATGTATGCTAAATATAACACATAAGACATAAAAAATCGAGGTTCTATTTTTTTAGCAATAAAATTTAGGTACTATATTGCCTAAAGATTTAAAAGATAATTTTGGTTTCCTGTTGCAATTGTGATAGACATACATCTTTATGCCTACTCCATCTCAAAATATGACTAAATGAAAGGTGGAAAATTGCAGTATATAAAACATGCTCACATGGGGCTTCAGAGTTGGCACATTGATTAAGAACACTGGCTACTTGAGCATATTTTGGGTATATGCCTAGAAGTGGTATAGCTGGATCTTGAGGTAGCACTATTCCTAGTTTTCTGAGAAGGCACCAGATTGATTTCCACAGTGGTTGTACAAGTTTACATTCCCACCAGCAATGGAGGACGGTTCCTCTTTCTCCACATCCTCTCCAGCATGTGTTGTCACTTGAATTTTTTATCTTAGCCATTCTGATGAGTATAAGGTGAAATCTCAGGGTTTATTTGCATTCCTCTGATGACTAAGGACTTTGAGTATTTCTTTAATTTTTTCTCTGCCATTCGATATTCCTCTACTGAGAATTCTCTGTTTAGCTCTGTCCCCCATTTTTTAATTGGATTATTTGGTGTGTTGCTGTTTAACTTCTTGAGTTCTTTACATATTCTCGGTATTAGCCATTTGTCAGATATAGAGTTGGTGAAGATCCTTTTCCAGCAACAGAACCAACAAATCTGGGCACAAGGGTCTTTTCTGAGACTGATATTCCAACCAAGGACCATGCATGGAGATAACCTAGAACTCCTGCACAGATGTAGCCCATGGCATCTCAGTCTCCAAGTGGGTTTTCTTAGTAAGGGGAACAGGGACTGTCTCTGACATGAACTCTGCCAGCTCTTTGATCACCTCTCCCTGAGAGGGGAGCAGCCTTAACAGGCCACAGTGGAAGACAATGCAGCCAGTCCTGATGAGACCTGATGGGCTAGGGTCAGATGAAAGGGGAGGAGGACCTCTCCTATCATTGGACTGGGGAAGGGACATTGGAGGAGAGCAAGGGAGGACAGTTTTGGGAGGGGATGAGGGAGGGGGCTACAGCTGGGATACAAAGTGAATAAATTGTAATAAAATTTTTTTTAAAAAAACTGCTGGCTACTTTTACAAAAGATCCAAGTTTAGTTCCTCGCACCCATATGACATCTCATTACTGTAACTTCAGTTCCCAGAGGTCTGAGACCCTCTTCTGGCCTCTCTGGAAACCAGGCCCACAAGGGATGTAAAGGTATGCATGTGGTCAAAACACCCATATACATAAAATTATTTTTAAAAACAACCGAAACATGACTGCATAGATGATGGGATAATATGAGGAAGTCAGTAAGGATATCAGGGTACACTATCAACATTTAAATACTGATGATTTAAATAAAAAGTTAACAAACTGTAAATAAGGAGAATTCAAGTAGAAGTAAGGAGAAGTTATAATGCTGAAGTAAATAACATCTGAAACAAACCCAGAAGCTGAATTATTATCTTGTTTCTTTGATTCTAGGATACAAACTCCAGGAGCAAGAGTGAATTTCCATGGATAGATTCTTGAGGGAGGACATAACAAGAGCTATATTTTATTTCAATTTAAATGACAAGAAGTATTTTCATAGAGTAGCTAAAATCCATTCAGTTGGCAATACACTCTATAGTACTGACTTCTTCAGAGTTCAGTTAGCCAGCCTTAGATTACTTAGAAATTACTCAATAATAAAATTCAATCTTTTTTAATTTTTTTAATTTTTATTTTTATTAATTACAATTTATTCACTTTTTATCCCCCTGTAGCTCCCTCCCTCCTCTCCTCCCAATTCCATCCTCCCTCCCCCTTCTCCACCCATACCCTTCCCCCAGTACACTGATAGGGGAGGTCTTCTCCTTTCTGATCCTAGTCTATCAGGTCTCATCAGCAGTGGCTGCATTGTCTTCCTCTGTGGCCTGGTAAAGCTGCTCCCCCTTCAAGGGGAGGTGATCAAAGAGCAGGCCAATCAGTTCATGTCAGAGACAGTCCCTGTTCCCATACTATGGAACCCACTTGGACACTGAACTGCCATAGACTATATCTGTTCAGGAGTTCTAGGTTATCTCCAGGGATGGTTCTTGGTTGGAGTATCAGTCTCAGAAAGGACCCCTGTGCCCAGATTTTTTTTTGGTTCTGTTGCTCTCCTTGTGGAGTTCCTGACCTCTCCAGGTCTTACTGTTTACCACTTCTTTCATAAGATTCCCTACACTCTGCCCAAAGGTTGGCTATAAGTCTCAGCATCTGCTTTGATAGTCTGCAGTGCAGAGCCTTTCAGAGGCCCTGTGTGGTAGGCTCCTGTCCTGTTCCCTGTTTTCTCCCTCTTCTGATGTCCATCCTCTTTGTCTTTATGAATGGGGATTGAGCATCTTAGCCAGAGTCCTCCTTGATTAGTTCCTTTAGGTGTACAGATTTTAGTATGTTTATTCTATATAATATGTCTAATATACCCTTATAAGTGAGTATATACCCTGTGTCTTTCTGCTTCTGGGATACCTCACTCAGGATGATCTTTTCTAGTTCCCACCATTTGCCTGTAAATTTCATGATTTCCTTGT